CACACTTTAGGCCCCTTAGTGCCAATTGGGCATCGTTTAAATGCCACGGCCTACCTGAGCATTGTTTCTGACCATGTCCATCCCTTTATGGCCACCATGTACCCATCCTCTGATGGCTACTTCTACCATGTCACAAAGCTCTAATCATTTCAAATTGGTTTCTTGAACATGACAATGAGTTCACTGTACTAAAATGGCCTCCACAGTCACCAGATCTCAACCCAATAGAGCATCTTTGGGATGTGGTGGAACGGGAGATTCGCATCATGGATGTGCAGCCGACAAATCTGCGGCAACTGTGTGATGCCATCATGTCAATATGGACCAAACTCCCTGAGGAATGCTTCCAGCACCTTGTTGAATCTATGCCACGAAGAATTGAGGCAGTTCTGAAGGCAAAAGGGGGTCCAACCCGTTACTAGCATGGGGTACCTAATAAAGTGGCCGGTGAGTGTATATATATATATATGTATATATATATATATTTACACATAATTTATATTACATATAAATATAAATATAAATATTTAAATAACACATTTTTCTTAAATACATGCATGTGTGTATTTATATGTACTAAATAATTATACACAGTACACACACATAGATTATGTAAACAAACTTTCTATTTTGGATGCGATTAATCGTTGCCCAGCGCTAATTCATTTCTAGTGTATACAACTATAGTATGCTATGAAGTAATTTAGTTTGATAAATGAGAGTATTTTCTTATTTTCTACAATTGGTGGACACTGAAGAGCATGACAAACACATACAAACAAACAAAACATTTCATTTCCCCATCAGTGATGCTGTTTAGTACAGAAACTCATGATAAGGGCTCATTGTTTGTGCTCTTTATTCATGCGTGTCCTCGGCTCTGACAGCTGTCAATCAACTCTTCAGTGATGTTTCCAGTGCATCTGCACATTATACGAGTGTGATGATTACAAGTGGACTAAAGCAGCGCTGTCTGCCTCGCTCTCGATGATTAAAGAGCTGATAGATTACAGTATTGATCGACTCACCTGACCCCGGACCTTCATATGAACGGTCTTATTGAGGCGGAGATGAGCGAGCGATGTCTATCTGACACACTGCTGTGTTTGAGGGCCGACAGACAGAAAGAGCCCGGGGAAAAGAAGAAAGCGGGAAAAAGGGGAAGCTGAGTGTTTAATTTGCGTTATCAGGCGGGCGAACAGCTGGAGGATACATTAATTAACAGATTGCGATCAGGACTGCGGGCCCTTGAAAATGTGAAGAGGGATCAATAAGGGCCTGGGACTGGAGGTGGCGGGATGAGCGGGAGCAGCCGGAGAACAGGTCACACATCTGCAGTGGCCTCACTTCCCAGCATAAACACACAACATGTGAAATGCTTCAGTGATCCAGGCTCAGGACTCATGGCTTGGGGTTCATATGCACAGCGCATTGATTCCAGCTAACAGAGAATGGACGTTCTGGCAAGGTTCTCTCAAAGTTATGAGCAAACGTTGGTCTAGTCACGTTAATAGGCCTATGTCACACTCATAGACTGTAAAAAATATGGACAAAGCGTCTGTGACGTCAACCATAGACTTTCTGAAGAACGGTTTTGAGGCCGTTTATGGGGGGTATGGGCGGCGGCATCTTTTAAAAATCTTGGGAAATCCTAACCCTGTCCACCTTCTGGCCAATCCATATATGGGTAAAAGGGCGGGCTTTGTGTGAGTCTGAGCCGGCCGGTGGACGCGCCTCTTTAGCCGAGCCTCAGCTATCTGAACCGGTACAAGATCGACTGGCAGACTAGGCTACTTTTTACAGCCAGTATCATTCTTATGTTGAAACTCCTTTTCCTCAATTTACTGAAGCCTATATGTAAAACGCATTTGCAGCTGCATAGCTCGCTCATAGGCAACTGCACATCCAATGGCGCCGGCGCCTCTGACGTGCGACCAACTAGCTCGCAGATCAGTCTATTCTTATGTTACATTTATTCATTTGGCAGACGCATTTACAGTGTTCAAAACGTCAGTTATAACCATAGGTAAAGTACCTCGGACGCTAACTTATCTGAGGCGATGTAATGCTAACTGTTGCAGTGCCACTGCCCACAAACACTGATGCTAAATAGTGCTAACTACGTGAAATAGTAGTGGAATGTCACTTACCGGAAAAAAGGAGCGAAGTAACGTTACTCCTAGTCCTACAGTGTCGGATAGTGCAGTTTATAGCAGAGCAACCCATGTTATGTACGATATTCAATACAAATGTTCAGAAAGGATCCAGAGGTGGTGTGTTGTGTCAGATCATGGCCGAGACGTCAAATTTCAGGAATTCCACTCGACGCAGCCCGCTATCAGCTGTCTGTCATGATTCTGCCATCATGTCTTTGATTTCTCTAGTATTGTGGCAGGATCATGGCAGACCCATGTTTTGTGTACAAGCACATGGCCTTTTGCTTGGGCCATGTGCTTGTGGTGTCTCGTTACGTTACCCCGCCCCCTTGTTATCCTCGTCTCGTCATTATTGTCTAGTCAGTTTCACCTGTCCTTGTCATTAGTGTTCCCTTTATAATCCCCTTGTGTTTGCTGTCCTGTGTCGGTTCATTGTTTGACTTTGTCATACGTTGTGTGAGTCATTGCTAACTTACCTGTGAGTACCTAGTGAGAGTTTTGTCTAGTGTATTACTGATCCTGTTTCTGTTGTTAGTTTATAGTCTAGTTTTTCAAGTGTTAGTCTAGTTTAGTCTTCCCTCGTCAGAGTTGCCTTTGTTTTACCCCCTCGTGGGTTTTGTTTTCCCGGTTTTCTGTCTACAATAAACGTTCTGTGATTGCATATTGTCTGTGCCTGGGTTCATCCGCCACCCACATAACACTGTCAACCAAGCTGTCAATCAAAGTTAACCACGCCCTTATTTGTCATACATTTTATATCTAAATACCATCTAAACTAACGAGTTAGAAAAAAATTCACCCCCGTCACAGTTGTCAGGCACTCGGAACCTATCGAAAAATACAATAAAAGTCCATGAGACCAACCTGTACATGGGGTCTATGGATATTTGCTACCTTTTGGGACCTCCCTCTAGCGGATTTTCGATGTATTGCAGTTTTCCGCACTTCCGGGTAGGCTTCATTTTTTTCCGATTAGAATGTTGCCGCTTGGTCACACTTCCTGCTTCCGGGACACGGAGCAGGGATTCAGAACTTCCGGTCAACAGTATTTCTCTACAAGGATTTAGATTATCAGCCATAATGTCTAAACCATCCGAGGTAGACTGGCCACGAGCTATGAGGTTGTGAAACTAAGGTTTTTGCTCCTGTAGAAGCTATAAGTTCGTATGAAATCAACCTTGTTTTAAGAAAAACATGTTTTATCTGCGATCTTATGAAAAAAAAAAAAACTACACTACCCACAATCCTAAGCGTAGCAGCAACGTCTGCTGATTGGTCCAACTCGCTGTTACCATAGAAACGTTTACCTTACTGGCGAACGGCTAGAGCTATAACATATTATCAAAGAATTTGCTGACTTTCTATCAGAGTTGGTACCCTAATTGTTGATGATTTTAATATACATGTAGATAATGAAAAAGATGCATTGCGATTGGCATTTAAAGATATTCTTAACTTTATTGGAGTTAGACGGCACGTGTCAGGACCTCGTAATCATACTCTAGATCTAATATTATCACATGGAATAGATGTTGATGCTGTTGAAATTCTGCAGCAGAGTGACGACATTTCAGATCATTATCTAGTTTTGTGTAAACTTAATTTAGCCAAGGCTGCAAAGCCGACTCCGTGTTATAAATATGT